TTTAAGGCTGTATTAATGATTACAGAGCAGTATTAATTTATATCCACCTGTAGTTCATTATTTGCTGTACCAGTTATTCATCAAATATTTATATTACTCTCATGGTTAAATAAATGATAAAATGTGATCGTGGATTTTACTAGTTGGTCTGCCATTGTACTGGAGAGCTTGGCAAACAAACAAGGGATAAAGGTTTTGAAATGCCAAGCGGATCACCTCTAGTGCTATCCTATTAAAGTTCTACCGTGTGCAACACTCAGGTCACGTTATTACAGCAGCATTAAGGGCGTCAACTGAAAACATCCCTCAAACAACTTATGGAAAACACAACGTCCGGCAAGGCTACAGACAGTTCTGCTTACTCACGGATGAGACAGATGACAGACTTTTACCACATATGGCAGAAAGGATGTGACTGTCAGTGGAACAATTGCGAACTGCCACAAAGAAGAAAGAAAAAAAAAAACTTCTTCTCATTGTATTGGAACAATCAAACAAAAAGCTCGGCAGCTTTCTAGCTATAGTGTGCCAAATGCAGCCAGGAACAGCTCGTTCTAATAGTGGAAGGGGATGACTGGTCATATTCTGATTTTTAAATGGTTAGCCAACCTTTGAAGAAAAACTCAAATTTTACAGTGAAGCCACGATAGGTAGCAGCTAAAAAGTTAATGCATCTGCCAGGCCTGCAGACCATTTGCGTCCCAACCTAAAAACCTGTCCATTCTGTAATTTTTCCAGGAGCCAGCCCCGTATATGCACAGCATGCTCTCTCCCATCACAGCTGCTAGCGAAAAGGGATAGAGCGCACTGCGCACGCACGGTGCTCTAAACATGGTCATTGAAAAGGAGTTCCAATACATCTATTTCTGAGGGAGGAAGCGATTGCAAGCTAAAAGGACATCCTCAGTGAGGGTAGAGTAAAAGTATATTTCCACTTTTACATTTAAAACAGCGAGAACCCTTACCAATCACACAGCAGAACAAACAATATGGTTTAAAATATATTTAATAGCTTTTAGATGTTTTGTTGCAGCAGGCAGCATGGCTGAAGTTTTTTCTGAGCACCTTTACAGCAATCTGTCCGCATAGAAAGACTTGGGACTGAAATGTGGATTTTTTTTCATTAACATGCAATGCACAAGCCAGGGTTGAAATCTTTTAACCCTTTGTTAGGACAGGCAGTGTTCAAATCTGCATACAAAATGTATAATAAAAAAGGCCAAGCAGAGTACAGACAGGGTTAAAAAAACCTAACCCTGCACTAGCCAACATTACAAAGGAGTAGAAAGGTAAATCCTTAAGAAGCCAAGAAACCCTAACCCAAGTAAAAGCAATTTAAACTGTGAGAAGCATTTTTTTAGCTTATGCTATGTGAATGAGAACACGTAACAAATATAAAATAGGTGTTCTCCCAATTTGGCTGTGAAAGTGTAAATGAATGCACTTTATGCTGGAGGTACACACACACACACACACACACACACACACACACACACACCACACTTTCAGCCAATTCTGAAAGGAAAAAAAAAAAAAGAGAAAATTCGACTTATGGGTAAATCTACTTTTGACAAAGGGACATGTTGGAAAATTGTTATCAAATTAGCTGCAAGCACCATTCGGATATTTGGACAGCAGTACCCACCCCAAATGACACAGTGGGAAATAGGTCCATCCACACTGTTTGCTTTGCTAGAGGAATCCATCAGATGTTTTTTGCAGGCTGAAAAAGGCTGTGTGTACCCAGCCCTAGAGAAGTCTCTGATAAAGGCTCAAAGGGAGATTTGATAATACCACATGGGGCCAAGCATAAAACTCACTTAGAGCAGACATTAAAATCGCCATGGGACTAGCTCTCACTAGAGCCTTGAAGAATCTTGAAATAAACAGATGATCCAACAAAAACTTACGACCTTTAAGGTGCTGAGAGCTAGG